ACATATATCAAAATTCATATTTAACTATGACTAAGATGCTTTTTATTTCAGGCGAGGAATCATATTTGGACAGACTGAGCCTAGCACAACTAACCCAGCTTTTGTTAACCTCGATCCTCGAATGCCCTTTCTATAAGGTAAAAGCATGAGCTGTGCTTTATGTCTCTATGGGGGCAGTTTTCTTTTGTTCCCTTTCCCCAACCATCTAACATTTTTGTTTAGTTCTTTTTCTTTTGATCTGTCTCAATCTCATTAACAACTAGAATTTCCATTCACTTGGAGTTAGTGGTCACCAGATAGCCTTTTCTTTAATAAATCAACCCCACTCCTGTTTTCTTGTCCTTGAAGGACCCATTTCCTGGTGTGTAAGATTTCTTGGAAGATGCTGCAGGGTTAGATTAATAGTACTCAGAGAGCCATGCTGGGGGTGTTAGCCCCACAGCAGTGTGGCTCTGGACTGAACACATCCTAAATCGTCCGGGGTACATTTTTAAGTGCAGGCTGACATCTGATGGAGTTCGGTGGAGGTGGAGTTTGTGTGTCCCATCAGGTACTCCGCACTGTGGGGGTAGCCACATCTCCCCCACTTCTGTTGTATTGTGACATTAGTCCCTTTAATTTTTCATTTGACTCTGAAAAACAGTATCACATTTTTAAATTGAATTTTAATGAGCAATAAGGAAGTTGAGCATATTTTTAAACGTTTATTGGTCATTTACATTTGCTGTGAATTGCCTTTTTACCCTCTAACTCATATTTCTATGGGTTTATTTTTTTCCCATAGGAGTCACTGTAAAACAGATTTTAGCTATTGTGTGTGTTGTACATATTTTCTTGTGGTTTTAATTCTTAGTTTTTTAATTTAACGTTTATGATGCCTCCTTGCTGAATAGAAATTATTAAGTTTTCTATAGTCAAATATATCCCATCTTTTATGGCTTCTAGGTTTCCTATCCTGCTTAAAAATATTTCATCACTCATAAGCTAATATCAATGTTTTACTAAATTTTTATTTTTATTTATACTTTTTAAACATATTTTTATTGATTTCAGAAAGGAAGGGGGAGGGAGAAAGAGCTAGAAACATCAATGATGAGAATCATTGATTGGCTGCCTCCTACATGCCCCCTATTGGGGATCGAGCCCACAACCTGGGCATGTGCCCTTGATCAGAATCAAACCTGGGACCCTTCAGTCCACAGGCTGACACTGTATCCACTGAGCCAAACTGGCTAGGGCTACTAAATTTTTATTATCTGGTTGGTTTTATATCTTATTTTTCTTTCTCATATTTGCATATACAATTTGTAGGGTCCAAAACTTCTTCCTAAATATCAAGTGAAATCATTTCTTACTCCGTGCTGCTCCCTGGAGACGCCTGTGGATTTTCATCTTTATAAATATGTGATGTTTGGATTGATTGACCTTTTGGGAGCAAGATCATATTTTGCTTCAAAAGTGTTAACACCATATTATTACACAATAGGTGAGTAATAGGGGGTTTTGTTGTATACTAACCTTCAGCCTTCATTCTCATTTGGAATATTTGCAATTTAATAGCCATAGAAGGTCTGGAAATACAAAATGGACTTGCCCTTCCCTAAAGGTGAAGTGGAACAAGGGTGTGCAGTAGGGCTGAGTTAAGACTGCCTGGGGTTGAGTCCCCACGTGTTAGCCACATAGTAGCATACTGTCTTTAGGCAGAGTTTTTAACCTTTTCTGCTTTCTGCTTTCTGTAAAATGGGAGAATAGTGGCTTCTTAGACTTGTTTAAGGATTACATGAAATAATGCGAGTAATATAGTAAGTGCTCAGTAATCGTTAGCTGCTGCTGTACTCTAGGCCAGTGCTGTCCAGTAGAGTAGCCACTAGTACACATGGCCACTTACATTTAAAATAATTAAAATTTTAAAAAATTCAAAGTTCAGTTCCTCAGTCATATTAACCACACTTTCAAGTGTTCGGTAGCCACAGGTAGCTCACGGCTGCCATATTGGACAACAGAGGTATAAATGTTTCCATCATCATGAAAGTTCTGTTGGACAGCACTGACCAGAGACAAGTCCTTCTGCCCTTACAAATTTGTAAAGATTAATGTCTAAAAGAAAATCAGCTCAAAGAGGACAGTGTTTTACTGGCTCCAGGTGGTCACATCTCACTCTCCTCCGGTACGGGCTCCTTTTAGGAAAGGAATGGCAGAGCAACAGTGGGAAGGAAGGGGAGTCTGTCCATGGTCCCCGACATCCCATGTCGGGGTGCAGGATGCTTTACTACCCTGGTGGCTCTGGGCGCTCCAGTGAAGAAAGGTTCACTGTGCATAGGTGTCTGGCATCGCTTAATTTAAAGGATTTTCGTCACTGGGTTGAAGGAGTCAGTTGTGTGAGTGACTCCTGTTATCCCCCAAGTAACCTGAGAACCCACTCCTTGTTTCTGTGTAGTTGAGCGTTCTTAGTTTCAGGCTGACTTGGTTGATTATAGACCCGGTTAAGTTAAAAATCTCAACATTGTCTGGTGTGGTCATTACTTTGCAGCCTTCAGCCAGTTGGTAAATGCAGTGTGGAAGAATTCAAACAGACGAGGAGGAAAGGAAGATAGTGTTTGTGAGGGTATCACACGAAGGATTTTTCCTTTCTTCTCTCACCAGATGTTGAAATTAAATTAGATGAAGAAGGATTTGTATTACCATTTACATTTCATGAAGACGTACATAAAAGGTAAGAAAACTTGTCGTTAATGTTACTTGCTGAGGATAAACAATGATTGTCTTCTAAGAAAGTGAAAAAAATAAACATTCTGGAAATTAAAACACTACTTTGCAGCATACCAGTTTTGGAAAATATTTGTAACATTATATGAACCTCAATTGAGTGTTTTCTTAACAGATTAAAGGATAACACATTCTTTATTTACTTGACACTAGTACTGGCAAATAGGAATAAGCAAATCCCAAATAAATTCTGGCAACTAAAAATATGTAAGTATTTTAGATAGTTTTAAAAATTGACTCACTCTCTCTCTGATTTTTCAGGGTAGCACTGTGTATTGATGGTCCAAAAAGATTTTGTTTGAATAGCAAACACTTACTGGGAAAGGAAGCTATTAAACAAAGACACCTACGCTTACTTGGTTATCAGGTCGTTCAGGTATGCTTGCGTCTCCACCCCCCCCCCCCCCCCCCCCCCCCAAGCAATGTCTACTTTAGATTTGCTTTTTCCAGGTTACTAAGTGGTCTGCCAGCCCACTTATATTAAGGTCGAGAGCATTTTATTTTATTGAATTTATTGGGGGGGCATTGGTTAATAAAATTATAGGTTTTAAATGTACAGTTCTATAATACATTATCTGTATATTTTATTGTGTATTCAATTGCAAAATTATTGGAATGTCTGTTTTAATTCCCACCTGATTTTATGAATAAAAGTGGACAAGATAGCCCATTAAAACCAGTATCCTCATCACCACTTAGGGTTTAAGGCCTTACTTGTATTTACATCATAAATCACGGCAGAAGGTCTCATGTGAGGAGCCACAGTGAGTGGACATGGAGCTTCCACCACTCTCCAAGCTGTCCACCAGTCTGCCCTCTCTTTCCTGTCTGGTTACTCTTTTCCACTCCATTTTTCTACATTCTCAGATTAATTTTCCTAAAATTAATCGTGCCAGTGTGTGTTCAGAGCCTTTATGTTTATTGCTTATTGCTTAGGTGATAAAGTCAAAGCTCCTGGGCGTCTCAACGTCCCAGGCCCTCTGCTCTGGGAGCAGCCCCAAGCTGGCAGCCAGGCGCTCTGCTCTGAGCTCGGGGTCTGCTCCCCTTCCCTCAAGCCCCCTCCATTCTCTCTGGCCTTTCTCCCTTTGTCCAGCTGCTTCCACCACCACACTGGTCTCCCACTCTGGGTATCTGTGGTCATTCATCAGCTCCCAGGTCAAGTCCACCTTTCACCCTAATCTGACAATACCAGAGCCCAAATTTTCTTTGCACGCTCTGCTTTGTATTTCCTGAAGCTAGGTGCTGTTGTAGGCACTGGGGCTACAGGATGAATAAGCTAGTGTGGTCTTTGCCCTGCAGGAGCGTACATTCTGCTGTGGAGGAGGGCGAGGAACAAGTAACCAAAAAAACCAAGGGAGTTTCAGATTGTGAAGGATTATGACAAATTTTATTTTCCTCCCTTTACAGATCCCCTATTATGATATTGAAACTCTAAAATCAAAACTTGAATTGGTGGAATATTTACAAAGGAAACTATTTTCGCAAAATGCTGGCATTTGTTGGTAAGGAGAAGGAATACTGGCTTCAGAACTCATATCGTGAAAGAACTTGTGTTTTCATGGGACTCAGTATAAGAAAAAGAATGTCATTTGTGAAATAGCCCTTTCTTTATGGACTGATGATCTGGAAATGGTCTGTAGTTTTGCTTATACCATGTATATAATTACTGGTGATAAATTTAAAATAAATTTTAATTTAATATAATTATCATACTTTTATACAATAAACAGAATTAATCAAGTATAATAAAGTATGTAATGAATAAATTGTTATTATTAAATCTTCTGCCTTGTAATAGCTATCTGCTAACTGAAAATATGCTCTTAAGAGACCTTAGTTTCCTCCTCTAAAAAATGTAAGGAAAAAAATTTTATCTCCCTTGTCCTTTTATATTTTCTTAGAGGAAATGATATATGGTAAGGAGGAGGAGTGAGAAAAATAGAACAGAGTCCTTTGAATATAAATATAATTATAGAATTATGCAGAAATAACCCTTTAGTTAGTAAGAAAATATATTAATATGGGAGCTTTTATCTTTTTAAAAAAAATTAAGGCTTAAAGACTTGAAAAAACTTATTAGGGTTAGATAGGGTTTGGGGGAGGAGGCAGGCCTCCTACAAATCTGGAGTTGGACACAGGTTCTTCCACCAGTTAGTTCTTCAACCTTGAGCGAGGAGACAACATCTCTCTATTCTCACTCACTGTGCTGAGCCTGTGTGGAGCACTGGAGCACAATGTTGTGTGAGTCTAAGGGCTGTGTGACTGAGGTGCTCCGCTCCTTTCACGGGTGAGTGGACCGGCTCAGAGAGGATGACTGTCCGGCCTAGCATTTCGTGCCTCACAAGTGGTGAGTGAGATTTAAAGCTGGTCTTGAGAAGCAACATACTTTAGTGGCTAAGAGTTCTAGCTTCACCACTTGCTAAGGGAGTGACCTTGAGCCTGTTTCCTCAGGGGTGCTCATAAATAAGGGGGTTGTGAATAGTTTCCAGAACTGCCGCAACCAAGTACCACAAACGGGTGGCTTGAAACAACCCAAATTTATTTCCTCAGAGTTCTGGGGACTGGAAGTCCATAATCAAGGTGTCTACAGGGCCGTGTGCCCTCAAAGCCTCTAGAGCAGCGGTCGCCAACCTTTTGGACCTCACGGACCACCAGTTGTCTGCGGACCACTGGTTGGCGACTGCTGCTCCAAGGGTTTCCTTAAACCAGTGGTTCTCAACCTTCTGGCCCTTTAAATACAGTTCCTCATGTTGTGACTCAACCATAAAATTATTTTCGTTGCTACTTCATAACTGTAATGTTGCTACTGTTATGAATCGTAATGTAAATATCTGATATGCAGGATGGTCTTAGGCGACCCCTGTGAAAGGGATGTTTGACCTTCAAAGGGGTCGCGACCCACAGGTTGAGAATCGCTGCCTTAAACCAAAGGTTTCCTTTCAGCTTTGGTGGCCTCAGGCATTCCTTGGTTTGTGGCAGCATCACTCCAATTTTTGCCTCCATGTTCACATGGCTGTCTTCCGTGTGTGTGTGTGTGTGTGTGTGTGTGTGTGTGTGTGTGTGTGTCTTACCAGTTTTATAGGATTAGAACCCACCCTAAAGACCTCATCTTGATTAAATCTGCAAAGACCCTATGTCCAGATAAGGTCACATTTACAGGTAGTGGTGGTTAGGACTTCAATATAGCCTTTTTTGGGGGATGGGGGAGGGGGACACAATTTAACCTGTAACAGGTTGAAATGAAAATTAAGTTAATAAATATAAAACCCTTAGAAAGCTAGCACAAAAATAAGCACAGTCTATGTTAGCTAGTTTAATTGATCTGAATTATCACCCCATCATGCCATATACTTCACTTTTCCCTTTTGAGTCAGTTTATCTTCAGAATAGCAAGTGGAGACAAGATAAGCTCTAAGATCATTCTTTAAAGTTGATGCCTTTGAACACAGAGCAGGAAGGAGACATGGAAGCAAATGGAGATTGAGCAGGACAGAGGTGCTGTGGATTCTGATGTGTCCGTGCACCCACGTGACCTTGTCACTCCCTTCCTTGGCCAACCTCACTGCACTGCCTCTCCCCTTGTGACTAAGTTCATCCTTGGGTATGATACAACCCTGAACCTTCAAGTAAACACCTTACAGTTTAAAGAGGGGGCAGAGCCTTAACTAAAACAGAGGTAATCACAGTCTGTTATAAATTATCCTGTATAATAAAACCCTAATATGCAAATCAAACGGTGGAACAACCAGTCACTATGACGTGCACTGACCACCAGGAGGCAGATGCTCAATGCAGGAGCTGCCCCCTGGTGGTCAGTGCA